CATGGCTCTTGGGTTGGAGGCCATAACTCTTAGGTAGGAGGCCATCGTTCTAAGCCCCCACAACTATTCCATCTTAATGTCCCAAACACATTAAAGATATGTTCTAAGCGTAGGTGTCGGACTATGTTCTTAGTGTAGGTGCGAGGGCCTGGGATGTTCTAACTGTAGGGTTAGAACATCTGCTGGCACATACTCTTAGAACATCGCGACCTATACACTTAGAACATGTCACCTGTGAAAAAGTAAAATTTTCCCAAAAGATGTTCTAAGTGTATGTCTTACGGTATACCCACTCCTAGAAACAAAGACTGTAGCCCCGTTGTTGGTTTTTGGACCCCCCTCCAGAACAACACAATAAAAGAACCGGGTGACACCACACCAGCTACAACCGGTGGTTGTTGGTCGGCAGTTGATGGTTTGTCTCACTGCGCCTGCGCGTGTGTATACGTGACGCGCGTGTGCATCTGAATGGTGGTCGAGTTCGCAGGTGATGGATCACGTATGTATGCGTATAGAGGACATCAATGCGCGCACCATGTACATCCGACCCCTTGCACCAAGTACCGTGCCTGCCACGCAAATCGCACCGGCAAAGCTGCGGCGACCAAGCGACCCGAGGGCGTACATCCGACCCCTTGGAGAGCACCAAGTACCGCGCCTGCCACACAAATCACAAGCGACCCCATCCGACCCCTTGGAGAGCACCAAGTACCCCGCGCCTGCCGCGCAAATCACACCGGCAAAGCTGCGGCGACCAAGCGACAGCACCAAGTACCGCGCCTGCCACGCAAATCACACCAGCAAAGCTGCGGCGACCAAGCGACCCCAGGGCGTACATTGACATCCGACCCCTTGGAGAGCACCAGAGCACCAGAACACCACGCCTGCCACGCAAATCACACCGGCAAACCTGCGGCGACCAAGCAACCCCAGGGCGTACATCCAACCCCTTGGAGAGCACCAAGTACCATGCCTGCCACGCAAATCACACCGGCAAAGCTGCGGCGACCAAGCGACCCCATCACACTAGCAGGGCTGCGGCGACCAAGCGACCCCAGGGCGTACATCCGACCCCTTAGCGCCGCGCCTGCCACGCAAATCACCCCTTGGAAGCACCAAGCAAAGCTGCGGCGACCAAACGACCCCAGGGCGTACATCCGACCGCTTGGAGAGCACCAAGTACCGCGCTTTGCCGGCGTAGACCAAGCGACCTCAGGGCGTACATCCGACCGCTTGGAGAGCACCAAGTACCGCGCCTGCCACGCAAATCGCACCGGCAAAGCTGCGGCGACCCAGCGACCCCAGGGCGCACATTGACATCCGACCCCTTGGAGACCACCAAGCACCGCGCCTGCCAAGCAAATCAAAGCTGCAGCGACCAAGCGACCCCAGGGCGCACATCCGACCCCAATTGGTTGGTGACAATTGGTGCATGGGTGGCAATTGGTTGATGACAATTGGCTGGTGACAATTGGTTGGTGACAATTAGTTGGTGGCATTTTGTTGATAGCGATTGGTGGATGGCAATTGGTTGGTGCAATTGGTGCATGGTGGCAATTGGTTGATGACAATTGGCTGATGACAATTGGTTGGTGACAACTAGTTGGTGGCAATTGGTTGGTGACAATTGGTTGGTGACAATTGGTTGGTGGCAATTGGTTGGTGACAACTGGTGGTTGGTGACAATTGGTTGGTGACAATTGGTTAGTGGCAATTAGTTGGTGGCAACTAGTTGATGGCAATTGGTTGATGACAATTGGTGGGTGGCAATTGGTTGATGACAATTGGTTGATGACAATTGGTTGATGACAATGCGGTTGATGACAGTTGGTTCATGACAGTTGGTTGGTGGCAATTGGTGGGTGACAATTAGTTGATGACAACTGGTTGGTGACAACTGGTGGGTGGCAATTTGTTGGTGACAATTGGTGGGTGGCAATTGGTTGGTGGCAATTAGGTGGGGAGCGAGGAAGGAAGGAAGGAAGGAAGGAAGGAAGGAAGGAAGGAAGGAAGGAAGGAAGGAAGGAGCGGATACCACACTAAAACAAAAACCCCACACGTCAATGTGGAGAAAAACACTAAAAACGGACAAGCTCAGACTTCAGTGAAACAAGTCCAACAAGTCCACCTACTTACGAAACCAACATTCGCTCAAACCTTCAACCGTATCCCTAACCTTGTTCCCTTGAAGTTCCACAGTTACAACATGTGACAATTATGTTGGGCGGCTGTTTTTGTTTCTACCACCACCACCACCACCACCACCAACAACAACAACAACAACAGTATAGTATATCGACTGATCTCATCTCAGGATGTCTCTCATCCTAGAATGCCAACTAAAGGTACATCTTTCATCCCTCGACAACGCAGCAATCCGAACCGGTATATAAACAAGTGACACCTTCAAATCATGCTCTAGCTTTCACAAACTTTGGAGGGCGCCACAAAAAATATACGGCGAGTACAAGTACAGGAGTGAACCATCACAGAGGATTGCACCAGCAAGAGAAGTTATCACCCCTCACCACGTGAAATAACAAGACCCTTCGACCTGTTTTCCACAAAAAAACTTGGCTCCAAACCATGAAACTGCCAAAACAAGAAAACTGCCCCCATGTCTTCTACCAAACAACATGTATATAAGTCCCCAACAAAATCAGCAAGGGAAACTGCACTCTCTGGCAGCAGGAATGTCGGCCTTCCCTCCCTCTATCGAGTCGGTCTCGAGTATGCAGTGAAGCTGTTCAACTCTTGGCTGAAACAGGCACTGCCCAAAGCCAGAGGGGCCACAACCCAAAGCACTTTGCTCGCCCGGCTCACCCATTCTGTCATGTGTACTCCCGTGAGAAGCTTCAGCCAAGGCACGTCTTGCCTGCAGGGTGTCACTGGCGATTCGCAAGACTGACTTGGCAGCTGTTCCATTCCTCTCGCGAGATGAAGGATTCCTGGCATCATTCGTAAAAATCTGTCCAGCTTGCTATCTAGGAAGCCAATAAACGCGCTCCTGTGTTCACCAGTTGAAGTCCTTGTTGCGCTGGTCGCTGTGCGTGGTGTTGTTGCGCGCATCGGATCCGGATCAGGCAAAGGCACCTCTGGAGCCACCGTACTTTGCTTCTCAGGCAACATCTCAACCTGTCAAGCAGACCGCGGATGCACTTGTTTTTCGCCAACCTTCCCCCCTCCCTACTTTGTTAAGTAGGCGCCTACTTAATGACGTAGGGGGGAGTGCGCTACTAGGTTAAGTTAGCTACTACCTACTGGGCGCAGGATAGCTCACGCTTCTTCAAGGAAGCTCCCCCCGCCTGAGGGTGGCAGGGAGCTTCCTTGAAGAAGCCCTCACACTAATGATTTAGTTCCTAGGCTTTTAGGAAGATTTAGCACGCTTAAACGAGAGCATGTTAAACACTCAGCGGCCTGAGTTTGGCAAGCTTCAGTGTCAACCGCTTCTACCGCAGAGTCCGTGGAGGCTGCTTCTTGTGGCGACAGGATGGAGATCTGGTCTGCCAGCTTCAGCTTGCAAATCTTCAAGGCTTCGTAGACTTCCTTTCCAAGGCAAAAAATTCATTTCCATGTGAACATGGCTGTTCTGGTTCTATTCAAAAGCGGTGCGACCAAGGATCATGCTTGATATGGCAACCAACAACTAAATTCTGTTGCGCTGGCTATCAGCATGTACTTGTGAGGATTGGAAACCACCCCACGAACACAATCACATCATCACACCAGACAATAAACACTCACAGTTGATGAAAGTAGCGCGCAGGACACTGTGCACCTTGCGCACGCCGCGCAAAACCACCCTGCCTTGCTTCCCTGCTTGCGTGGAGTGGCACCTACGTGTTCCTTGCTTGCGAGCGCAGTGAGAGGTGAAAGAATGGAACTAGAGTACCAAAGAGCAAAAAGGAATTGCCAGAACCATATGAACATAATTCATTCTCAAAAATGAATCATCAACGCCAAACTCCGACTCCAATTTTGTTGTCACAATGCAGTTCGGCCACCCCGTATCTGCTGACTAGTTTGGGAGGGTCTGGACGACCTGATAGACATGGGCATTCCCCATTCATGTTAGGGCCATTTCACTGGTGTTCAATCGATGAAAAATGACCACTGCGTTGGTTTTGTGTGGAAGTGGACGGCGCCCCACCGGCGCATAACATCATCTTGACCCTTCCGGCAAGGCGCCAAATAGGCCAAATCCCTCATGCGGTTCAGCGCTTGCTCTTTCCTGGGTTCATAAGATTGCACCAAAAATATCGCAAAGAAATCAAAACTAGGGTACATGTGAAAGAAGCGCAGCTCAAAAGCCGTACAAGCCTTGAGCAGCATTCATACGCGACCAAAAAAAACAGTATCCACCGACCCCTATTCCGTGTGCATTTGCAAGCTATTATATAACGCGGGCGCTGTGAGACGTCGGGATGTCAAAGGAGCTGCTGAGTCATTGGGCCTGACTATATATATATATATATACACTTTATACATTTATATTTTTATATTGTGATTGCATAACTGTTTGAGCAGGTTTCGTCACGTTCAGATCACCAGGATCCTTTGAGCGTGTCGAATTCCGTTCACCCGAGGCCTTTGGCCCAGGACAGGGTCCTCAGGGTGGGCGGGTGGTTGATCCGTGTCATAGGCCACTGCGGCGCTGGAAGCGCCAATAGGAGACAGGGATCTCCTCGTGGACCCAGGTGGGCCGAAGAAAGAGTTGCTGCCGCTGGAGCGCTTCGTGGGACGGCGCGGTGGGAGCACCGTTACCAGTGCGGATTCTTCGGGGCTCACATTGGTAGCGGAGCTCCCATCCGCTTCCATTGGTGTCTTGACCAGGCTTGACATTGTTGGATAGCGTGAGTCCTTTGGCTTCGAGCTCGATCGTTGTGCTTGCTCACGTTGCTTACACAATTGTTGTTGGTTGAACATTGAGTTGATACATTGGTGGTACAACATTGTTTTCCTTGCGCGCGTACATTGATTGTCGGTTGTCAGATTGCGTGGTCGACCAACATTGAGCGCATTGGTTGCCACTACGTTGGTGTTGAGTCGGTTGTACATTGAGCATGGAGCAAGCTTCGAGGGCTGGTTGCTGCTTGAACTTGCTGCCCTTTTTGGGGAAGTCAAGGTGACAGAGCGCAATGGCTGGCGAAAGTGAGTCGTCCGGTTCACAGGTGCATACCCAGCTTTACACCAGGAGTTGATGATCTCCAGGCATACCGACAGAAGGCGGAATTGCTGGCGGCCATTTGGCCGACCGGTAAGCTGTCAGAGCTTAACGCACGCCTGATCCTGGGCGCAAAGGGGTATGCATTTGCCAAATTGCAGCTGCACCAGAAGGAGCTCCTCAACAATGATCCCAAGTCGGTTCCTCGAAGAGAGGTAACAAGAAGCAGAAGATGTCTTGTTCAGCTGCTCCCAAAGGAATGACGAGAGCAACGACAGTTTTCTGGCTCGCTCCGACATTCTGTGGAGTAGGCCTACGTCGCGATGATCAGGGGCTCCACGTGGTCCTCTCTGAGGATCGCAAACGAGTGATCTTGGAGGCAGAGGCATCGATGGACGGCCGCCTGACGGTTCAACGCGTCAGTGAGGCCATACGTCTTCTTGGAGCATCCTTCTTCCAGGACCTGGCTGCCCAAAAGCAGTCGACCAGAAAACTCCACGACGCTACCGCCATGACTTGGACTTCAACAGAAGCTGTCGGTGATGAGGCGGAAGCCGAGGATGAAGTGCTGTATGGAGGTGACCTGACTGAGAATACTTCATCCATGCCATGGCCTCGGAAGGCCACGATGAAGCTGCATTGATCCTCGATTTTGAGGCCGCTGCCGAGGAATTGGCGCAGACAGATTCAGAACTGGATACGTCGTACATTGAAGCAAGGAAGAAGCTGGGCGAAAGGTTCAGGAACCGGGGCTTTTTGCCTCTTTCCAAGGGAAGCTCAAAGGGCGAAAGAACGCCCGCGGTCGCTTCGGAAGTTGGGGATCCGGGAAGGGTCAGTCCTCAGGTCGCAAGACCCTCCAGGTCCGCATCCTGTCGTCGAACTGCCGCATTTGCGGCCGTCATTGGAAGGCCGAATGCCCCTTCAGATCCAACCCCACCGCTCCGGATCAGCATCCGCAGCTCCGCCGACCTCCATGACGGAGGCCTACAACACTGCAGATCTTGGATCGCCGCTTGAACTTCTCGAGCTGCCCGAACGGACAGCGCCATCAACCACCCTGACTGCCACGCTACCACCTTGTCACAGGGGAACATTTTTGGGATACCCTCAAGATTCTGAAAGATAGGGTCATGAATCACCATTTGAGGGTTCGGGGAAGAGAAGAAGAATCACCGCATCGACCGACATTGCTCGACAGGATCAGAAGTCGTCGTTGCTCTCATGAGAGCCAGTCTCTGGAGTCGAGTTCATCGACTCCGATGCCCAACCTTTCGATGGTGCCGCAGCCCCATTGTCAGGTCGGCCCCAAGCGTGTTGTTGATGAAGTAGCATCACACGTCCAAGACATTTGCTTTACATCACACTCCAGTTTTGGGATTTTGGACCTGGGGACCACAAAGACTGTGATCGGGATGAACCATGGACCAACCATACGGGAGAACTCTTAGCAAAAAGACCATCTCTAGATGTCCACCTTCAGATTCGGAAACCGTACTCTGCAAAGCACCCAAGCTCTTGTGATACCTGTAGGTCTCTTGAAGCTGCTGGCGTTTCGTTTGAGACGGCTTCATAGGCATTAGGACATGGGTCAACAATATCCCCTATGAAGGTTGCTCCCACTCATCTATTCCGACTCGTAGCCGGTCCACGAGTAAGCCTGTGACCCAGAGGGGATCTCGTTCGGCTCGATTGGGACGCTGGTTCCAAGATTCTCGGCCTCTTTTCTATCTTCAAGGTGGCAAACTTGAAGAACTTGCGATGTTCCGGATACGACGTCACTTTGTAGTGGCTGAGCGTCGACAGCACCCAGTTTTGATCGGTCTCCCAGACCGTCTGGTAGGTTTTCCCCTTGTGCTTCTTGCCGAAGTTGATCGCGGTTCCCTGAAGGTCCTCGATGGTCAGACTTTCCAGCGCGGGATCGCTCCGGGGCCCTGCGCACGATGAGGCACTCACGGAGCGATTGCATGGTCGGCTTGAACGGCGCTGCGAACGACGGACATGTCGGACCTGATTGGTGGTTCCGTTTTGGCTAGGGAACTTGTAAGTATCTTGTAAGTGGTTGGTAACTTAGTTACGAAGGGGTTACAAGTTCTGTAACTAGCACAAGTTTTTATGTTAAGATGCGGCACCTGCAAGTTAGTTAGCGAAAGTTAGAAATTTCTAAGTTCTATATCTAGATTATCAAAAATTGGTCAAAATAAGTTATACCTAACTTAGGGAACTTAACTTTTTTGAGATATCAAAGTTCAAGTTTTTTCATTTATACAAAAACTGATTAAATCGTGTCTTTTTGCACTTTGATTCTTAAACTTGAAATCGAGTTCATGCTCCGATCGCATGTTCATCACGCAGCTCACTGAGCCGCAGGTTGTGTCTCATGCAAAAATATGTATATATATATACATATACCGCGTGCCATCTTGATCATGGCTGATGATGGGTGTCGCTCTTGTTCAAAAATAGACCTGCGGCTCATTGAGCAGCAGGTCGGGTCTCACGCCCTAAGCCAAGAATATTTATACTTTTTTTTTGCACAGGCTCCATGTTCAGCAGTACCGGCAGCTGAGGACGTGTGAGCAGCACACACTTGGAGCCAGCAAACAAAAAACATTGTTGCACTCAATCAGAAAAACTCTGAATCAGCAAAACTTAAATCCTGACTCCTGGATTTTTAAAAATCAGGGAGTCAGGAAATGTCTAAACTCATGAGGTGGTGGGGTTGGCAACTCTGAGAAATGAATCCTATTTGATAAAATCTTATCGCATGACAAGCAAAATGCTTAAAAATCAGAAATTGAATTTAGACCTTTTTTATACATGTTTATACATGTATAAATCGATTCCGTTATCAGTTTATACATGTATAAATTGAAAATGATGTGATTTAAACATGTATAAATTGATAATTTGTTGATTTATACATGTATATAGTTTGGTCCGCATTGGTTTATACATGTTTATACATTTTTATACATTTGTGATTTCGTGATATGTGAAAACAATCGGCTAGTCAGATTTTATGTGTTTGAAAGTTGTTGGTCAGCAACCCGAATATTTAGATATATCAGGTGGAGCTATGGTAGTTCTGTTTTGAATGGTTCAATGGCAAATGAATCAAAGTTTATGTTTGATGCATTGCTTTTCAAGGACAAGTACTTTTGGTACAGGACCCTTTGCATAAGGTCTAGAGTATAGGGTATTTTCCACTGGGGCCGCCAGCCAACACATCTGGGCGGCCCAATGGGCCGCCAGCCAACCTAGATCTAACCCCCAATTGACCACCAGCCAACCTATATGTAACCCCTGTATATTTTTCAAAGGGTTGAGCTGAATCAAGTTGAAGAAACAATCATTGAACATCAGTTGTCATTGAAGTTCAAAGAACAAGAATAGTTTTGGTAGACTTGACCAGCCTGTGCGAAGAACTTTTTTTCGCTCCCTGAGCCGCCCCGCCAAGTGACTATTGTCTTCCAATGCTTGGCGGCTCAATGAGCCGCCTGCTGGACCGCTCACATATATAGAAGTGTGTTTTATGAAAGATTCCAGCGCGTTGCACACAAAAAACAACAACAGTCACAAAAAATAGAAAGTTTGCAAAATGAAAACGAATTTTTTTATCAGCTTGATTGAGACTATACTTTTGGTCGTCCAGGAACTTACAGAACTTATAAGTTAGTTACAAGTAATTTATACAACTTACGGATATAAATAAAAAAACTCATAAAACCTAAGTTCCCTAAGTACTACTTACAACTTGCTTAAGTCCTATAAGTGTCTTAACTAAGTTGCAAGTGCCGCAAGTAAAAAGGAACCACCAAGTAGTAGTTTGTGGACGACTTGACACTTCGTTCGAACTGTTCGATAACCGGGTGCGCTTGCGCTCTGATTCGAAAGTTCTGCAGGCATTTTGCTCTCGCTCGGACGGTTGGTCTGTGAGTCTGATCCGGCTTCTTCTGCAGCGTATGAGCGTATGTATCAGCCGGTGACTTTGCAAACTGTACTCGCGCGTTGCGAGCAGCTTTGATCAACTGGCTCAAGTCAATCACGAAAAGTCCTCGTTCCGTCAG